TTCTTGGTTTAATTCTTTTTTTTTTTTTTTTTTTTTTTCTTTCTATTTCTTTTATTAGTACATATGAAGGTATTATCTTTTCAGTTTAAAGAATTTTAAGATGACTATAAAAACATCTGAAGATGTTTATAAATTTGTTAAGGACTGTATAAAAATAAAAGAGGAAGTAGAAAATGCAAAAATAGTTAAAAAAAAAGAAAAAAACAGAAATGAATCGAAAAATAATCTGTCAAAATATAATTTTGACTATTCTAAATTTGAAAGCTGTATAAAGGAAATTGAAGAAGAAGAAGAAGAAAAAAAAAAAATTGAAAAAAACAAACATCATTTTATAAATGATAGGAATCCATGTACTCATGATCATTCAAAAGAAAGACAATTATATGAGAAAGACTCAAAAGAAAAAATAAAAGCTTCCAACGCCTTTAATGAAGAAGGAAAAAAGGCTTTTTATGAAAAGAACTTTAAACTTGCATGTGTGTATTTTCGTAAAGGATTAATACAATTAGACTATAGTTTTCCTGATTTAGAACAAGAAAAATGTGAACAAAAAAAATTAGAAATTAATTTACACTTAAATATGGCATTAACAAAATTTCATATGTCTAAATATTATGAATGTATAAGCGAATGCTCTACGGTAACATTAATAAATATTTATATATATATTCATATTCATAATTTATATATATAAGAATTTTTTTTTATCTTTTTGTTATATTGATATTAGTTATATTTTCCTTTATATATATATTTTTTTTTTTTTTTAATTAGATAACTTTTCACTTCATTAATCTTATTTTTTAATTAGGTATTAAATTTTGATCAGAATAATATAAAAGCCTATTACAGAAAAGGACAAGCATATATGAAGTTAGATTTATATAATGAAGCAAAACAAGAATTTTTAAAAGTATTAGAAATTGATCCTAGTAATAATAATGCAAAAAGGTCTTTATTGGACCTAAAAGAAAAAATTTTAATTTATAACAAAAAAAACAAATTAGTTTGTTCTAAATTTTTTTCTTTTAATGAAAATAAAACAAAAAACGAAAAAAAAAAGGCTAATATACAAAGTAATCTAAATGAAAGCAACTATGAAAATGTTAATGAAAAAATCAATAATAAAAATTTATTAACAGATAAAGATAATATTAAAGAAATGGATAAGAATAATAATTTCGATAAAAATTTAATAAATAAAATAAAGGATAAAAAAAGTTATTTATGTAAAGTGAAAAAATATATATTTATGATAAACAGTACAAGCTGTTTTAAAAATTATTATGAATTTTTAATGAATAATGTTTTGCTATGTATTTTTATATGTTTTTCAATTTTTTCATTAATATTTACCTTTGTTTTTACTTCATATAAAAATTTCTTAACATGTATATCCTTTTTCCCAATTTTATCATTTATTGGTTTTTTTTTTATATATGTTTTAAAAAAAAAATAAAAATTAATATATTTATGAATATATCTTTTTTTAAATATATCTTAAAAATTATTATACAGATGTATGCAATATCATTTTTTAAAGTAAAAATAATAAAGCAAAGTAAAATAATAAAATAAAATCAAATTTCAAAGCTGATAAAGCTTATTGCACACAATAAGTATACAAAAGTAACATAATTTCTTTTATAAGTATTTTTTCATTATGTTAAAATGCTCTAAAATATGTTTTAACATTTACATATAAAACAAAATCATAAGTTTTCAGTTTTATATTAATAAAAAGAATAATAATATTTAATATTCATAAATGAGTTAAATATATTCATTAACGTTAAAACGATGATTTATATCATAATTAAATCATTTAAAATTTAAGAGAAGTTTCACAAAATTAATTTATATATATATATATATATATATATATATATATTTTATTACATTAATATAAACAATTAATTTTACAAAATTTTAAAATTTTAAAATATTAATTTTTTATTTTAAAAAAATGTGCCATTATGATACTATTATAATTGAAACAGAAAAAGGATCAGTAAATGTATACTTTGAAAAGCAGAGTAGATTGTTTTGTTTGGTTCATACAACAAATAATATATTGCAAGCTCATGTATATTCTCCTGATGATTTTAAAAATATTGAAAGTAAATTAAATTACAGTGATTTAGAAACAAATGAATTAAAAAATAACAATGATAAAAATTTAGAAGAAAAATATTCATTTGATATAAAAAGAGAAAATGAAATTAATTATAAAAATATTTTCTCTTATTTTAAAAGAGGTACTTTTTTTTTTGGAAATTTTAATATAAATATTCTATATTTCTTGATGAACAAACATAATATAGAATTATGTTGGGTTGATAACAAGGAAATATTTGAAAAAATAAATAATAATAATTGCAGTACAATTTTTGATGATAAACACTTAAATAATAAAAATTTAATTGCATTTATAATAAATGTTGTTAAAATAAAATTCTTTGATTTATATTACCATAGGCATTTTTATACCATAAGAAAAATTTCAGGTATATATTTTTTAGTTTTATTAAATAAAAAAAATTATTGTAAAATATACAAAGACAGGATAATAAAGAAAAAATAGAAATATGTTAAATCGTGTGATATTTATTATTTTTAATTATATATTATATGAATATTCTATTCTAACAGGACTTTGGTTTCATTTGGATTCTTCACTACATAAACCGATTATGCTCCCTAGCAATAAAGATGTATTTTATAATAAAAAAGAAAATAAAATAATTACGAATTCAATAATAAATAGTAATATATATAACCTTTGAGTTATGAATTTTTCAGATCAATAAAATATAAAAAAAAAATTTATTTTAAATAAATATATATATATATTACTTATTTCCTATAATTTATATGTATTTAATTTTAATAATTATACATAAGTTTTTATTATATACATCAATTCAGTAAAAATACAAAAAAAAAATTATATAGACATTTATTATGATTTATAAAATGAAAAAGTATAATTATTTTTAATAAATACCAATCCTCCATAATTTCTATACAGAGTTTTATATTTTTTTTTTTTTTTTTTGTTTTACCTAAACATAAAATTCTAAAGCATTCAGATATATTTTTGTGTAATTTATTAAGGTATAATTCCTTCTATTATATATATGTATATATGTTTTTTTTTTTTTTTTTCCAGGTTAATGATCACCTAATAAGTATATTAAAAGATAACAAATTCCATAAGTCTGACAATTATATTATACAAGTCTTTAAAAAAGAAAAGCATAATTCCGTATAATCATAACTTACTAAAATAGTGCATGCAAAAAATAGCTTTAAAAAAAAAAAAAAAAAAAAAAAAAAAATAAAATATAAAAAAAAAAAATAAAATAAAATAAAATAAAAATAAATAAAATGAAATAAAAAATTATTTAATCTAACACTTCAAAAAAATATTTACAATTTTCCATACATTTATTCTTTTTTTCTTGGAGAATTCATCGTAAGATTTTTTCTTTGTTTTAATAAATAAATTATTTTATATATATATATATATATATATATATATATATATATATATATATATGTTTAATAATTTTTGAAAAATAATAAAAAAACGTTATATTAAATTCATCGGAATGTTAATGTGAAATAAAATTAAAAAAATGAGTGATAAATCCAGAAGAGGTATAGTTTAATAATAATACAAATTTTACATTTAATTATGTGAAATCATTTATTTATTCTTTGTAAAAGAAACTAAATAATATTATTTCATTTTATTTTTTATACTTTTAGCTTTTCTTTTTGGAGTGACTACAGTTTTAATATTCTGTTCTTTTGCTACAGTAGAATCTTATAGATATATGTGGTACAAAATATGTTTGAAATATTATCTATAAAAAATATTTATTTTTATGATTTTAAAAATTTTATATTGTCTATAATATTTTTATGCTTACTTGTTCAGGATATTTGGAAGCATATGTGCATTTTTGTTGTTGTTAATTGACATAATGTTTTTTGGTGCTGATAAATTTAATTATGATCCATTTTATTCGTAATGAAATAAAATTATCATTTTTTTTTTTTTTTTTATATATATATTTGATTTTAAAAAAGAAATAAAATTCATAAATATTTATTCTTAAATACAAACCATAGAAATACCTTTTCCATTATATATTAGTATTTTTTAAATGATAATTTGTATAAACATTTTTTTTAATTAAAACCTTCAATTATATTTTAAAATTAAAATATACATACAAAATCTCATCCAATTATAAATTCATTTTTTTTTTTTTTTTCATGCCTTTTTTTTTTTTAGTAATTGGGAAAAAAAGAATATAAAAGACATTTAAATTAAGATGAAATTATATAATTTAAATATAACCTAAATAAATATATGTAATATGTAAATAAATTTATTTTTTTTTAAGTTTTTAATTTTTTAATATTATGTATTATTTTATTTTTCTTGTTGTGTTGTAATATTTATCCAAATAAAAAATTTTAAAATTCTAAAAAAACATTATAATTTTTGTGATTATTACATAAAATAATATTTGTATAATAATATGCTTCAAAGAAATAATTAAACATGAGAAAATATAAAAATAATATTAAATAAAAATTTAATCAAAGCTAAAATACTTAAAGGAAATAAAATTTTATGCTGTTTTTTTTTTTTTTTTTTTTTTTTTTTAATAAAATAAAAAGTTTTTAAAATAAGAAAATAAAAATAATAAAGAAATATAGGAAAATATGCACTTTTTATTTTGATAACATTATTATATTTATATGTCATGTCTTTAATAATAGAAATAACTTTAAGAAATGATCTGTTTTAAAATACTTAATTACAAAACATGAAACATTGTTTAACTTTAAGTTTTACTATTTTTTTGTTTATTTTTATTATTATATAAATGTATTTTTACATATATTAATTTAATTACATTTTTATTTTATTTTATTTTGATTGAATTTTCTTTTTTTTTTTTTTTTTTTCATAACATCAAAAGAAAATATTAATATTTTTTTTATCTCAAAAATAAATTATCTGCATGTTAAAAAAAAATAAAGTTTTCTTATTTTGCTTTTATTTTGAAATGTTATACTGTATATAAATTTTATTTCCTTAAAATTTTCGCTATATCCATGCAATTTTTTATTTTAGTTTTTTTAAGTTATTTATATATATATATGAAGCATCATGCAAAACACGTAAATATTTAAAAAATCTAATTAGCATAAGAATTTTGTTTAAATTTATGTTTTCCTTCTTTATTTTTTAATTTATTTTAAATATTTTGTTTTAATATTGAATACATTCAATTATCCCTTTAATATTTTGAACATTTTAAATTTATATTTTTAACCCATAATCCCATATTTCAGTTGTAAATTTTATAGCAAAATTACATAATTATTAAATTTTGTTACTTTATTTTTATTTTTGTTTATTATTATCCATGTGTATTTTTAACATAAATAATGTTTAAAAAAGATATAAAAAATATTTACATAAAAAATTACATTAAGAAGATATATATTGTTAAAAGACACAATGAATGTAATAATATTGAAGAAAAAAAAAGTAGTATTCTTTACAGAGATTTCAATGATTTTGTAGTCATTTTAGTAAATATAAGAAAACATGAAAAAACTTTAAAAAAATTAAAAGATGACAAAAGTAAACCCGATTTTTCTAAAATATTGCTAGAATATTTAGATTTTTATGTTACTAATTTTGGTTATAAATTTCACTCTTTTATTTTAGAATATAAAAATGAGATGACAACAAATGATTTAAGTAATTGTTATGTTATAGATAAATTAAAAAAATGTCATATTGAGAATGTTGTGAAGAATGAATATTCACGAATTTTATTTAAATATGATAGTATCAAATATTTGTTGTATTATATAAAAAAACATATAATTTTATTTGACACCTTTAACACAAATTTTCAAAAGTTACTAATAACATATTTATCATTTTCTTTAAATCCTCTAAATTTACTTATTTTTGTATATTTAAAGGTTAATGATAAAAATTCGATGAATATAATAGAAGGGAATATAAAAAACAAAAATAAAGAAAATAGACAAACAATTTGCAAAAATAAAGAAGTAACAGAAAATAATATAGATTTAAGCAAAGGAACATGTATGAATTACGTAAATAAAATAGAAAATTTTGAAAATGGTAATTTTTTTTGCAATGATTTATACACTTTTATATGTATTTATGGAGAATATATTACTAAATACACCATAATTAGATGTTATAGTGAAATATATAGTAATAAAAAATTTATAAAAGGAAAATTAAAAATATATTATTGGATAAAAAATAAGATTAAAAATGATTTAATACAAAAAATTTGTTCAATTAATTGTTATAAAAATTTGAAATTAAATGATCAAATTAATGAGAATATTTTTAATTTTTATGAAAGTAATTTAAATCAATGTGTTCAGAAACTTAAAAGATTCACTGAAATTGGATGTGGGTTTAAAAGTGTTAAAATGTCTTACAAAAACTTTTCTTATATTTACGAATTAGTTTTACTTATTTATTTTATTAGAAAATGCCTTCTTAATTTGAATGAAAATATTAGTATGTTTTCTCAAATTTTCCTTTATAGTTTATATAAAACTATAAAAATGATTATTATATATTTATATTTCAATTTACCCAAGTATTTGTGTCATTATTTCTTAAATATTTATTTAATGTTTTTTAAAAATAAAAAAAAGCAAGTTAGCAATGTCTTGAAAAAAATGAAAAATACATATAAAAATATTATGAATCATATTTATATGCAAAGAAAATTTTCTTTTAGAGAAACAACAAAAAATTGCATGAAAATTAAGAAACCCTTAGAAAGTAGTAAAAACTCAAATAAACCAACCTTTGTAAAAGTTAATGTAAATAATGTAGAAAGAAAAAAATATAAAAAAATTCTAAGTCTTGTATATTTTGAAAGTAAGAATTATAATAAAAAAAAACAAAATAAGAATGAATTAAATAAATTTAAAATTATTAATTCATATGGTGCTGTTATACAATTGAAATATAATAATGAACTATTTCTAAGAAAAAAGAAAAAAAATGATAAAAAAAAATTCTTAAAAAGAAGAAAAAAAAAAAAAAAAGTTGGATTTATTTACCCTAATAAATTTGAAAGCATGAAAAGATATTCATTGATACATAATATAATTTTAAAAAACAGATTAAATAAAAAGAGGGAATTAGATAATAATGGCTTAAATATTCGAAAAAATTATATGGAATATTTATTAAACAGAACTTCCTTAAATAATTTTAATGATAATTGTATTTTAATAAATGGAGAACATTTTAATTATAATGATAAGGTAAATGTCTATTCAAAAAATAGTGGTTTTTACGAGAAAAATGTATTAAATAAATTATTTAAAAGTATATTTGGTAATTTATGTAAACAGAATAAATTAATTTTAGACGAAAAAAGTGAAAATATACTTAATTTAAGTAATGAGAATGATGCATATAAAGAAAATAAATATGAGGGTAATGAATATAATGAAAATAAGAATATCACAAAAAGTAAAGAGAATAATGTCGATGAAATTAATGATATTTATGTAATACCTAAAAAAAATATCTTTAGTTTAGATAAAATTTGTATACACGAAAATATTCAATTTAAGAATGAAATCAAATTAAGTAGTGTAAAATTATCAACAGACATAATCAATAAAAATAACTCTATCATTAATTATAATAAAAATGAACTAAATGAGGAAAATCAAGAAAGGATAAATATTGAACAAATACAAAAACATAAAGAAAAAATAGACATAATATACAATAAAGAAAAAGTGGAAATAGGAGAAAAAAAAGAAAATGAAATAGAAGAAAAGCAAGAAGTAGAAGAAAAGCAAGAAGTAGAAGAAAAGCAAGAAGTAGAAGAAAAGAAAGAAGTAGAAGAAAAGAAAGAAGTAGAAGAAAAGAAAGAAGTAGAAGAAAAGCAAGAAGTAGAAGAAAAGAAAGAAGTAGAAGAAAAGCAAGAAGTAGAAGAAAAGCAAGAAGTAGAAGAAAAGCAAGAAGTAGAAGAAAAGAAAGAAGTAGAAGAAGTAGAAGAAATAAAAGAAAAAGGTGAAATAGAAGAAAAAGGTGAAAAAGAAGACGAAGAAAAAGATAAAATAGAAGAAAAAGAAGAAAAGGAAGAAAATCAATTAAATAAAATAAAAAATATAGATAATGACATTGTTTTAACATATGAAAGCATTGATAATAATTCAATAGATGCCAATGAAATTTTTAAAAACACCAAAGAAAAAAATGATGATAATGAAAATATATTAAAAGGGAAATTTTATAATGATGTTAATAATATAAGGGACAATATAAGCATAAGTTGTAAGAGTGATGAAAAATACAAAAGCTATTTTACTGAAGAAATGAGCACTTCGGAAAAATTAACAAGTGATTGTGATTATTATTTGAAAATAAAAAAAGATAAAAAAAAAACAGATATAAAAACAGTAGGATTTAAAAATAAAAGAAGAAAAACTAGGGGAAATCAAGAAAAAGAAGAAAAAGACATTAAATTAAATAAAGAAATTTGCAGTTATAAATATCAAAAGGATGAAAAAGAATCCATTATTTTATTAGAAGAAGAAATCGAAAATGTAAAGAATGAAATAAAAGAAAAAGAAATAATAAATAAAAAAGAAAATCAAAATAATATATTAGATGTAGAATTAAAAAGTATAAATGCAGACAATGAAATTACAGAATGTAAAAATAGAGAAATAATTGAAGATGAAAAAGAGAAAAACAAAATAAATATAAAAGACGTAAGCAAATGTAATAAAGAAGATATATTAATAGAAAATGTAGAAAATAATTCTAGATATTATAAAATGGATAACGAATATGATGAAGATAATATTGATCAACGAGATTGTGAATATAAAATAGACAGCATATATGATGAAAGAAAAGAAGAGAATAAATACATTGAAGTAAAAATTAATGAACTAAAAGAAGATAGAACATATAATGATAAATATAAAAATTCATTCGATAGTTTGCAAAGTGAAAGTAACAAGTTTAATGAAAATAATGAACAAAATGAATTAAGTAATTTCAATAAATATAATGAAAATGATGAACATATAAATAAAATAATTGAGCATAAAGAAGATAATCATAGTATAGAAGTTGATAGGGAAGAGTATAACAGTAGTAAAAAAAAAAAAAAAAAAAATTTAAAAAAAAATATCTTAGGAGAAACAGGTTTAATTGAAAATGATTCTTTAAGTGATGACACTTTAAAAACTAAAAATAGTAAAAAACTAATATTTAATTTATCTTTAAGTGACAGTGGCGAATCTCTAATATTGGAGAGTGTAGAAAATAAGAAAATGAAAACTCATTTAAATGATGTAGTAGAAAATTTTTTTGATTCAGATAATGAGAATGATATATTGAAAAAATTAAGTGAATCATCAAATATAATTGAATCATCCGAAAAAAAATGTGATAAAGAAGATTTAAAAATAATAAATGAAAATATTAAATTAAAACATAATTATAATGATGTAACAAATGTAGAACTAGATAAATTGTTTGTAGATACATGCGAAATTTACTTAAATGAAAAATTAGCACCTAAAAGAACAATATATAATAAATTTAAATTAGTTATTATTTATTTATTTGATCACTATATTATAGGAGGTATAAACTTAATCAACCCTTATAATTGTGGTGAAAATGAAAGATATAAGCATTTTACTAATATTCAATCAAATATAAATGACATAGATCATACAAAAATATTTAAATATAATGATAAAGAATTAATAGAAGTATTTAGAAGAAACTCAGAAATATTTTTATTAAGTAATAAAAATGAAAAAAGGATAATGAAAATTATATCTAAATGTGGAAAAGGATTAAATGGTTCAATATTTAAATGTAAAATTAATGAAAAATTATTAGCATGTAAAGTTCAACATAAACTTAATTTAGCCAAAAAGGAAATATATTTTTCTTATTTACTTAAAACAAGAAAGTGCAATAAATTTAATAAATATTCAAAGAATAGCGATGTATATTATAGTTACAAAAATATATTTTTAGAAATATATGAGCATGAAAATAAATACATTTTTCCTGATGAATTACATTATAAGATGAGTAGCGAGATAAATGATCCCACAAATGAAAATGAAAAAAATGGAAATAAAATAAAGAACATTGATAAAAATCAAAATAAAGATAAAGGCTTATCTATATTACTAATGAATACTCACAATTATGTGATAACCTTAAATGAATTAATAAATAACTTTATTAGAAAAAATCATAAATGTGTAAATGAGGAACTTATATTGTTCATTTTATATCAGATAATTGTTTCCGTTCTACAATTACACGTATTAGACATATTACATGGGGATATAAAAATAGATAACTTTTTAATTATAAAAAATGAAAAATTATGTGATGAAGGAAGAAAAAACATAAATAATTGTTATAAAAGTAAAAAGGAAAAAAAAGATTTTAATACTCGGAAAAAAGAAGAAAATTATATTTTAAATGATGATTTAAATAAATATAATAAAAATACTTTTTTAAAAAATGAATTCCCATTAAATATGTTTTTAATTGATATTGGTCGTGGAATAGATATAAAAAATTTTAAGAAGTATCTTTTTTATGGAGAAAAAAATTGTGACTGTTATAGTTTTCTAAATAATTCTATTTATAATTATCACATAGATTTTATAGGAATTGCTCAAATAGCTAGCTGTTTATTATTTTATAAACACATAAGTCATGTAAAATATAAATATGAGCAAAGTATCAATGATAAAAATAATATTTTAGTTAATAATTTAGGAATAATATATTCAACACATAATAATCATTTTTATGATAATAAAAAAAGAAGGAAAAATCATTCTACTACTAGTAATAATAAATACAACGAAATTGAAAATTTTATAAAATTAAAAGAAAATATATATCAAGAAAAAAAGGAAACTAAATATAAAAGTGATAAGGTAAAAAATAATCCTGAAGAATATAAAAAAAACACATTACGTGGTATTCATAATGAAAAATATTACAATAATAGAAACATTAATAAAAAAGAACAAAATCAAGATTGGTATCAATATAACAAAAAAGAAAAGAAAATAAATAATGCAAGTTCTGATGAAAATAATAATAATTTAGATAATATTTACTTAAAAGATTACTCAAAAAATATGTTTATAGATGAAAAAAATTACGAAAAAATTAATTATTATTTAAATCAAATAAAAAAACAAGCAGAAAATTATTTCGTTGAAAAAGACAATAAAAACAAAATAAAAAATTTTAATGTAAAATTAATTTTAAAAAGAAAAAAATATTCAGAATTTTGGGAAATGCTTTTTCATGTTTTACTAAATTTTTGTAATATTTATGAATTAAATTGTGTTCATTATAATTCTAATGATATAAATAAAGATGTTCAAAAATATAATGATCACAAACTAATCAAGAAAACGGACAATTATTATTTTGATTTTGTTAAAAATAACTGGGAAGAAATAAATAAAAATGATGAATGTGACTTTTTTATTAAAGAAGATAAAAAATATTCCTTTGATTATGATAAGAATTATAGTATTAAGGACTTCAATGATAATAAAATATTATCAAATAATTTATATTATGATAATAATAATAATAATAATAATAATAATAATAATAATAATAATAATAATAATAATAATAATAATAATAATAATAATAATAATAATAATAATAAACATATTAGACATATCAGTGATAATAACACACGAAAGTTAAATAAGGAAAATATAAAGATATCACTTAATGAAGAGAAGGCAGACAATTCGTCAGGTATTATTAATAAATATTTCTTTATAAAAAATTCTATTTCTAATTTTAAAAATATAAAAAAAACATTGTATATCAATAAATACAATGTAGAAAAAAATAAAAATAAGACCACTAATAAAGAAGACTCTAATACAAACAAAGAAAGTAAGTTAATAAATAAAAGAAAATTAATTTTTTTTGAAAATGAACAAAATAAAACAAAATGTAGAAAATTAAATAACGAAAAATCCTATAATGAATGTGATTATAACAAAGCTAAAAAATCTACAAAATATATTAATAAACTAATGAAGAAAAAGGCAATATTCATTCTTTTAAACTTAAAAAGGATAATTGAAAAAATATTTGATGAAGATGAAGAGAAACAGAGAATTTTATTAAGTGAGCTTTATAAAATTGCTACTTTTTTTTAAGTACCATACTTTTCTTTCATTTTTATAATTAATTTTGTTATATATATATATATTTTTTTTTTTTTCCCATTTTTCATGCATTAATTTTTTTTTTTTTTTTTTTTTTTTTCTTTTTTTCTGAT